AGCAACCGCGCCGCAGGTTGCCACCAGGCGCGCGCGCCGCATACGCCACCGCCCGCAGACCTCGCGGTGCACGGCTGCATTGGCGCCGCCACCGCGTTCGTGGCCTAAGGCGCGCCTCGCTTGCACCCGCCACATCCATCGCAAGACGCGGGCCGCACCTGGCCGCCCTATGCCCACGGCCGCGCTGCGCTCGCCGCGCGCCGCCGCCGCGCCCGCGCGCCACCACGCCCTTTCTCCGCCGCTGCGCGCCATGATGGCATGCTCGCCTCGTGCCACTCGCGCCACACATCGCGCTGAGCGCCGATCGTATCATGGCCGCCACACGCCACCGCGGCCCCGCTTGCCGCGCCCGCCGCGCCACCATCGGCTCGGCTCGCCGCCCTCACCCATGCCCGACATCCGCTGCGACTCCATCCTAGGGCCATCGATCCTGGCGTCCGCTGCGACTCTGTCGACGTCCGCGGCCCCGTCCACATTCCTTCCACCGTCAGTCCTAGGGCCGAGGGTGGTTGCCTTTGGCAAGGGCCAAGGGGAGGCGGTGCTATCCGCCTAGAAGGCCGCAGCAGCCGCGCTGCCCGAATAGTTTGCAAGCTCTTGAACTCGTCGGACAGGTAAAAATTATGAATATGCAATGTACGTACTTAGTTAGCTTTGATTGTAGTGTAGTAGATTTGGCATTTGTTATTTACTAGTTAATATGATGACTCAGATAGTTGATTTAGTTAGTGATCTAGTGAGATAGATATGTAGATACATAGAAACATAGATACATAGGTACATAGATATAGTTAGATAGCTACTTAGATAGATAGTTATATATTTAGTTAACTAAATAGAATCTAGGACGCTCCATCGACTCAGCCTACACAGCCTTCAGGCACTAGGCGGCGCCGTCCACCTGACCCTTACACTCCATGTACTAGCGCTCTTGGTCACAAGGGTAAGGGTAAGACTAGGAGGCAGTGACCCTTACACTCTAGGTACCAGCGCTCTTTGTAGTTACCTTCCTATAACTATTTGGGACTGTATAAACATTGTGGACTATTTGGACTATGCAGGACATGTTATATTGATTATGATGTTTGATGTGGTTGTATTGTGCTTTTGGACGATTAAATGTTTGGATTATATAATGATGTCTCTGCTTTATAACCGTGGATGCTCCTGAAATAAAGAGAACTCTTGCGAATTTTTTTCGTAAATCATTAATTATACTACACTGCTAAAAAGGCACAAATGTAGAACACAAATTAAATATAAATTCATTAAAACATGTATAGTCCAATCATATCGTACAGACGATTTGTAGATAAATCTAGGCTTTTCAGTAATAGTGAACGAATCTAGGCTTTTCAAACAATGAAAATAAACTTTTCAGTTACAAGGACGAGGAGTACGATAATAGCAGTGATTTATCACTTTACCTACATAGTACACCTATAGCATCTAGGCTTTTCAATGATTTATCATGTCAATGACGAATAGACTTTTCAGAAAATGAATCTAGGTTTTTCAGTGTCCATTGAAATAGGCTCTTCAATGAAACCAATTATGCTTCTTGTGACTAGTTATAACGCATTGAAACGGCAACTAAAGCTATCTCTTCCTATATATACGTAATGTTGGATGCATTGCTACTTACTTTCTAATTAGTATTTTCTTTCTTTGCAATACCAATGTCTAGAGGGTTATCCAGAGGGAGAGGAAAGGGGAAGGGAACTATCATTGTGGGGGAGGGTTCTCTTGGTCCTAATTTCTTTGAGGAAGCTCTTTATGAGAGGTTTCCTATTGAGAGCAAAAGTGATTTCACTAAAGAGGCACCACTGAGAGGATACGATGAATGGAAAGAAGAGTGGCCAAAATGCATGCATGGTGAGGACTGTCTAGTGCATATGTTCACCGAGGGAATAGATGGAGGTCATCGTTTCTTCAAATGCCCGTGAGCATGGGTAATTACTATTACTATTTGTTTCTTCAATATGTTTCTCTTCTATACAACTTACATGACATACTTATTGCAATCTTCCTTGACCAAAGAAAACTATGGGTTCACTAGGTGGGTCGATCCTCGACCTATTTATCCGCATGCGGAGTACATCTACTACCTGCAGGACCGTATCTTAAATCTAGAAAGAGAAGTTAGCAGCGGTTACAAGGACGATGAACAGGACGACAACAATAATGGTGCCGATTCACAGGAGGCACTTTGCAATGATCCAAATTGCATCTGCCCTAACCACAAGAACAAGGGGTCTCCGCCATAACCCCGCCACCACAACCACCAACAATGGGAGGCTAATGTGGAGAAGGTGCAACATAATTTGCTATATGGCCACACTACTAGATCGATCCTATCTAATTTACATGGCACATCCATGTGTTTGTTGTTTGGTTTAATTACCTAAGGCATGTTAGGTTTAGTCGAAGGAACTATATACCCTAGTTCAGTACATGTTCTCACATGCCATTTCATGTGTTTTGTGTGTTGAATTATATAATGTCCTACTTCGTTAGGTTTTGTTTGCAGCATGTGATTATATTTCACTACGTTCGCAATATTATACTGAATATTATGACCACAAATAATGAAAAACAACTACATAATGAAAAGTTCAATACTATGCCACATTAAACAACATAGTAATACTAGAAGTACGTGCCGACAGTAGATAACATTGTTCATGAATAAACCATAGAACTAGCAAGTCATGGATACTACTGAGTGCAACGAGGCCACTTTTCCTTCCTTAGGGCATCGGGATTCTCCTCCATCGCTGCTTTCGCTCGACATGCATGCTCAAGCTTCTTCTCTCTCCTCCCTGTACGCAGCAACACATCTCCTTTCTCATCTTCCTTTTCTCCTTTTTTGTAGCCTCCTCTCCGCGTCTCTTCTCCATCATTTTCTTGTCCTCTGCCTCCCACCGCAACAGTTTCTACATCCATTCCTTGTCTTCAGACTTGATCTCAGTGTTGATACACTACTCAAAATCACAGAGCGGTGGAGGAGTATGCAAAAATGCAATTGTTACAAAACAAAAAAATCATGCAAGATGTCATATGACACAAATATCAATTCATCACCATCTTGTTAATGCGGTGCTGACGAAGTGTAGGCTCAAATGCAAAATTGGAACACATCCAATACATCTACCTATACGTGAACTCTTCATCGGACTTGGCTACCTTGAAAGGATCGCCGCAAAAGCATATGGGCACTAGAACACTACTAGGCAGAGGCAATGGGTCGAAGGCATTTCTAGTCATCCGGCCATAACTACAATTTAGCCATTTTTGTTCTTAGAACCAAAATCAATTCACATTAAATCCTACACCTAGGGTTTCCCATTTGATCGGACAACAATGAACCCATAACATAACAACTTGCGACGAGGTTATCTTGGTTTGCTAGCTTTTTCACGCCTTAGCATTCTATGGTTGTATAATATAAATATTAAAATTACATGAAACCTTAAGTAATGACGATTCTTAAGTTGAAAAATCCAACTAATATATACCCAATCGATGTGAAAAAAAATCTAGGAGGGAGCGAGGATACCTTGCTCTCAAAGATCTACGAATCAAATCAAAGTTTCTAAGGTCCAATATGCCGATTCGTGAGGTAGGGCGAAGTGGGGAGAGAAAAAACCCGAGAGGGAGGAGAAATAAGAGGAAGAAGGCTTGAGCAGGAAGGTTGGGGGCTGGGTTAAAACACCATCTCGGCGCCATAGATTTTGGCGCCAAGATTTATGGCGCCGAGCTCGGCGCCAGGATCTACGGCGCCAAGTTGCCTGCTAAGTCATCGCCACGCCTACGTCGAACTCAAGACCTAAACGTAGAATCTATGGCGCCGAGATGTGTAAGCTCGGCGCCACGGTGGCGCCGAGTTAAAGATCTATATTTTGAAATCATATCTCATATTTATAAAAAATTTCAAAAAAAAGCTAAAAAACAAAAATGTTGGTGAACGATCATGGAGGCAGGCTCACCTGCTCCGTCCGTTGCATGGACACGTAACAGGGATGGGCGGACGGCCTTCCTTGTCCACGGGTGTGCCGCTGGTACCTACTACACTGGTCGTGGTTGTGGCTGGCTACCACGATGGCATCCGCATGATCAGATCAGCCAAGCATCGGCATCGCCATCACACAGCAGCAAGGGCTGCAGGAGGTAGCGAACCGAGAAGCACAAACAACAGGACGATGACGACCTCGCGCTCGTCTTGTTCGTCGGCTGGACCTGTGGCAGCCTCCGCCACCTGCACCCTGCCTGCCTTTTGGAGCATGGGATCGGGATGACGACCGTGAACCTCGGCGGCGGCCTTTTTGATGCCAAAATCCCATTCGCAACTAAACGTTCCGTGTTTCTCGAGGAGATACTGGCGTGCCACATCATCCTGCCGGTGCTGGGCATTCACCATCGGAACAGGAATGAATTTGAATTCTCGTGTTTCGGCTGTGTTTAGTGGCAGGAATTTAGATTTTGCCCCTGTTCACGTTTATTTTACCTTGTGGTAAACCGGAATACCGGACCAGCCGCCTCTGACCACCGTAATTTGCCTGCCTGCCTACCGTTTTTTTGATCTCGTCAATATTTAACCTGCGTGCTTCGCGAGGAGATACATTGATGTGCCACATCAACCAACTTAAAGTTGATGCGGAACTAAAGAAGGGCTTCGTCTCGAAGACGATCGACTGGAATCATCAGAGCAGTGGAACGGCAGAAGGAAGAATCATGAATGTACATTCACCAAGAACAAAACGTGTGACGACAGGATCATACACCTCCCGTCCCTCCCAATGAATGGAGAAGAATTCAAAATATCCAACTAAGCAACGAATCTGATCGATCACCCTCCGTCCCTTCCCTTTCCCGTGCTAAAAATTGCCAATCACAGCTTCGACGAATGGATGGAGCTCGCCCTTACCGACAATGGTGGTGGCGCCGGCGGTTGCTGCATGAATGAAATCAGAAAAAGAATGGAATCATCCATCCTCAGTTCCTCACAGGGCTCCCGACCGGTCCATCGACGTGACGGAGGGGAGGCTAGCACTGGAGGAGCTGTTCCCGAACCCGCCACCTCCACGGTCACCGCCGCCGGCGCTTCCCTCGCATAGCGCGAACGCCGTCTCCAGGTTGGCCACGATGTCGGCCATGGCTGGTCGGTCCTTGCCCTCGAGCCGGACGCAGTGCACGGCGGTGTACGCGACCAGCTCGACGGCCTCGGCCTCGTGCGCCGCGGGCTCCGGCGCGCGCCGGTCCAGCACCTTCACGAGCTCCCCGCCCACGATGCTGGGCACGGCGTAGTCCACCACGGACACGGGGCTCCCGCCCTCGGCCTCCTTGAAGATGGCGCGCCGCCCCGTCAGCGACTCCAGCATCACCACGCCGAACCCGTACACGTCGCTCTTCACCGTGAGGTGGTGCAGCCCGTAGTACTCCGGGTCCATGTACCCCACCGTGCCGGCCGCCTTCATCACCGTCAGGTGCTGCGACTGCGACCGCGACCGCGACCGAGACCGAGACCTCGTGGCGGCGGCGGCGGTGGCGGAGGCGTCGTCGTCCTCCGACGACGGCTCCAGGGGGCCCATTAGTGACAGACCAAAGTCCGACACGCGCGCCGTCCACCCGCCGTCCAGCAGGATGTTGGACGACTTGATGTCGCGGTGGATGATGGGCGGCACGGCGTACGAGTGCAGGTACTCGATGCCGCGGGACGCGTCCAGCAGGATCTTGATGCGCAGCTTCCACGACGACGCCACGGGCGACGGCGCCGCCCCCGGCTTTGGGTGCAGGTGGTCGTAGAGCGCGCCGTTCTTCATGTACTCGTACACCAGCAGCCGCTCCTCGTTCTCCTCGCAGTAGCCCACAAGGCCGACGAGGTGCTTGTGGTGGAGCCGGGACAGGAACGCCAGCTCCGACCGGAACGCGCTCTCCTTCTCCTGGAACCGCCGCGCGCGGGGGCCCGACTCGCAGGCGCGCTTGATGGCCACCTCCCGCCCGTCGGGGAGCTTGCCTCTGTACACGGTGCCGAAGCTGCCCTCACCGATCTTCGCCTCCAGCGCGAACCCCTTGGTGGCCGCCTCCAGCTGCGCGAACGTGAACTCCTCCGTGGGGTCCTTGAACGACGACGGGCCACTGCGCTGCCGCGTCATCACGCGCGACAGCTGCCGCCGGAACAGGCTGCGCGCCCGCGACCCGTTCGGCGACCCGTACGGGCTCCCGCCCGCCGCGCCACCCCCGCCGCCGTTGTTAGTGTCGGCGCCCGCGCCCGCGCCCGCGGCGGTTGTGGTGATGTTGGGCTGCACCGAGTTGTGCACCCGCTTGTTGCTGCAGAAACCGAAGACGAGGCAGTAGACGATGGAGCAGAGCCCCGCGAAGCCACCCACCGCGCCGACGACGCAGAACGCGATCCAGGCCTTGGACACGCGCCTACCCGACGACGGCGACGGCGCAGGCGGAGGAGGCGGCGAAGCAGGCGGGGGAGCAGGCGTCGGCGGCGAAGCGTCACAGACGAGCGCGTCGCAGATCCCGCTGGAGCCCCCGCAGAGCTGCTGCGACCCCGGCATGAAGCCGCACCCGCGGCGGCAGGAGCTGACGTTGCTGACGCAGACGCCGGGTCGTATCTTCGGCAGCGGCACGGGCGCGGCATCGGCGCCCGCGGACCAGCAGTACACGCTGTAGTCGATGGACGCGACGCCGCAGGTGAAGTTGCCGGCGGCGGCGAGGAACAGGAAGGAGATCCCGAGCGCCGGCTCGTATAGGGTGGTGGTGGGACCCCCGAGGCTCCAGCACACGGCGGTGTGGTTGGGCCGGCGGAGCGCGCACGCGTGGGAGTCGCCGACGGCCAGGCCGTACCCGAAGAGGTCCATTGGCAGCGCGCCGGCGGCCGAGGCGTTCGCCGCCGCGCCGACGTCGTCGGAGCCCGAGCAGAGCGCGGAGCCGGAGGCGAGGACGGTGCATGCTCGGGCGCCCCCCGCGGCGAGGTACGGCGCGGCGGTCGCGTTGGCGAGGCCCGCCTGCACGGGGCTACCCTGCGGGCCCCAGCATCGGACGGCGGCGGACGCGTTGGTCTCGACAGCGCAGGTGAAGCCATCCCCGGAGACGAGCGAGCGGAACCCGCCGTCGGCCTGCGCGGGGAACCGGTCCCCGCCGCGCCACCATAGGACCCTCCCGGAGTCAGAGGCGGAGGCGTTGGCTTCGTAGGCCGCGACGTGGTCCCCGCCGACGGCGAGGTCCGCGAGCGGGCTGGGCCCGTTGTAGAGCCGGCGGAGCTGCCCCCACTGCGGCGCGGGCGTGGACGGCCAGCAGAAGAGCGCGGCGCCACCGGCCTGTAGGCCGCACACGAAGCCTCGCCCCGCGGAGACCTCGGCGAAGGTGATGATGGACTCCGCGACAGGGGAGGAGGCGGACGAGGCGTTGTTGGAGGAGGAGCCCGGGAGCGCGGCGCAGTAGACGGTGCCGTTGTACGCGTCGACGCCGCAGACGGTCGGGGAGGTGGAGGACGCCGAGACGGCGAGCGTGGACGAGGCGGAAGCGCCGGGCAAGGCAATGGCGAGGAGGAGGAGGGCGAGGGGCAGGAGCTGGAGGAGGAGGGGCGGCCGCGGGGTCATTGGGTGGAGGTGGAGGAGGAGCGCGCCGCCGACATCTGCGAGGCGCGGCTGGCGTGCCGTGGAGACGGGGGAGGTAGAGGAGAGGGAGGAGTGCGCGGACGAAATGGATTAAAGCGCGCGGAAAAGGGTGAAGGGAATACGGGGCGGGTGCGGGTGCGGGTGCTGTTGAATTGAAGGACGCGGGCGCGGGGGCGACCTGGACGCCTTCTCCGCCTCCGCGTGGGTTTTTCGTTTGGTGCCGTGCTCTGCCCTGCTCTGTTCCACCGTGGGCGCGGCGCTCCTCCTCTTGCTGCTCCTGCGTCCGTCAATGCCTTTTACTCCTTGCGTTCCTGCCTCCACAGACGTGCGGGTTTCTTCGTAGTTTACGACTGTCGTCTTCTCCAGCTAATGAGTATACCTGCTGTTGGGGAGACGCAGATGTTTGAGGCGCACGGTGAAATTGGAATAACACACACCGACACACGCAAGCAGCCAAGCGCCCAAGCTGCAAGCGCCGACAGATACAACCACGCCGTGCCATTTTCAGCCAACATTGTTAACGAATATACTACTGCTCTATCGGTCCTAATAAAAGGAGTACGTACAATTCGAGAGTCCAACTATTTGATTAAGATTATATCAAGAAGATAAAGTTTTATGAATACCGAATAAGTAAGTGTCATTAAATTCTTCATGAAGTATTTTTTTGTGTACTCTGATTTGATCCATTACATAGGCCCCGTTCAGCTTACTGAATCTTGGTTCAAATTGGCTGAAAACACCGTTCTTGCTGAAATGTTGTCAGAGAAAAATAATGTTCCAGCTGAAAAAAGAAACCGAACAAGCCGGATACGGAATAAGCCAAATTCGAAAAAATCTAACAAAAGATAGATCACGAGATAGATGTGGCACAAGGCCACAAGCAATGGATACTTTTTGCCAGTAAACAAAAAGAAAAGGAAAAGATACTCGTACTGTTATTTTAAGCTCTGAGAGGTACTACAAGTTTTCATGGGTCATACCATATACTACCATGGGCGGCGACTTGTCCTTGTCGATTTCTTTTTCTTTGCTCTGTGAGCCTGTGACCGCGGGAGCAAGAAAGATGCTCCGAAACGGCTACTAATGGCTGGCGTCAAGCCGGCAACAGCAGGCTGGGCGCTGGGTGTTGACGTGTTGGCACTGTCCGAGGGAGGGGATTCGGTTATTAGGTTTTGTTTAAATACAAACGAAAGTATTACCGTGATAAATATTGATTTCTAGACCCAATCTAAATAAGGCCTTATTAGCAAAAAGATGTTATTTCCATTCCATGTGACCTGGCCTGGCCAGCTCAGGCCTGAGGACGGGACGTCAGGTCGTCGGCAAACAGGAGTGTCGTGAGGTCTCCGCCGTACCCGCGCCCGTTTTTCTACGGTACGTCTTGGCCCCCCGCCGGGAACGTTGCACGGCCGCAGTCCGCACGGCACACGGATTGCCTGCCGCCGGAGCCCGGACAGACACAAATATGATCCATCCTCCGGCCTCTGCGCGTGCTGTGCACGGCCGCGGCCACGCCGGCGACTCGTGGCCACCCGGGCAAGTACCGCCTGCGACGTTCCTGTGCGGCTCTAAACCCCTCCTGCCCCGTGCTACGCGCGCACGGCGGCCTGTCGCCGTCGCGTCGCCTAACTACCAACCACCCTGCCATGCATTCTTATTTTTTTTCTGTCTTCATTCACTTATTTTTTATAAGAAAAGAAAATGGAAAGAAACAAAACTAAAATTTTCAAACAAACAGATGGTAAGCCGTTGGACCCGGCATTCCGACGCATCAATCCGTCCCGCCGCCAAGATCCACTGCCACGGGTAAACGGCACGTTCGACTGATATTAAAGTTGTCTGATAAGTTGACTAAAATTATTTTGTTACGAGAGAAAAATACTGTACCTGATAAGCCGACTTACTACTAGTATTAAACTATTATTAATCAACTGTCCAAATAAATACCACGTGACGCTCGTTGAACAAATCGATCGTCGCGCGTACGTTGGCATCCGGAGACCATTATTCGTGTTGGGATTAGCCGGGCGTGCGTGCAGCGTGCTGAAGCAGAAGCCCAGACCCCGTAAACCGTTTGACCTGTCGTCTCTGCTGACAGCCACCACCACCACCATGCCAGCTGCGTGCATTTCCTTGCACGTGTCCATCCACGGACACGCACGCGTGATTCCGCACTGCGGTGAGGAACAGGAGAGGACCGAGTGCCAGCAGTGACCAGCCCGGAGTACCTGTGGCACGAAGCCAGCGGTGGGGCTAGGGGGGCTCTAGCCCCCCCTACCCATCCTGCGCATGTGGAGCTCCTTAAACCATTTTTTAAAATTTTATGCATATATGTATTAGGTAGGAGGGGCTAAGGTTAAGAGAAGATAAAAAAGCTTTTATTCTTTTGTTTCAGTTCCTCCTAAATTTTTTTCTAGCTTCGTCACTGGCGAGAAGGGGTGTCTAACACATGACACATGGGCCTACTGTATAAATTAATAAATTCATAAAAGCTCATACTAGCTCGTCTAAACGACGTTGGATGGGTGTGCATTAACATGGGTCACGGAAGATCGTTGGTCGTGACAAGTCATGGCTGTTCCTCTGCTTCATCCAATTTCCTTTTTTCAGCGCAAATGGCCGTGTGTCTCCAACATATCGCTCTGACTTTGCAGTCTGGCTCTACGCTGGGCCATCGCGGCTGCCGCCGATGCTGGGCTGCTGCCTGCTGCGTACTGGAGTAATATACAAGGACTAGTAGTTCTAAACCATCAACTGCATTCTGCCAATGCATACTAGACGACTAATCGCCCTCCTAACACCGTGCTTGGACTCTTCTTCTCGCAATAGTCAGTACATTACTACTACTAGCGAGTAATGCTACGGTACCCCCATTGCCTGCTAGGAGGTAATACTTCAAACTAATCTAGGCCATTGATTTTTTTAGATTTTTAAATTAATTAATTAATTAACCTAAAAAAAGAAAAATTCTCAAATCCCCTAAATCACGGGAGATACAAGCGCATGTGGCCCCTCCTTGCGGCAATCTTTTTTTTTCTGCAACCTTCCTTTTTCTATTCCGTAACTGTGCGTAATTATTTTGTCCTACAAAAATTGCCAATACATCCAAATGTGAATTCGAACAATCCATTTGTAATCCACATTCTCAACTAAAAAATATATTATATACATAAAGAACATCAACATCCAACACGCTAAATGAGACGTGAACTTTGGCGATCTAAAACATGTTACATGCTAACACGCTACATATTTAAGTGTCTATATTATGCTAATAACTCGATTAAAACTACATTATATAAAAGGGATAAGCACAAAAAGATTAAGCATGCATATACGTGTGTATTTTAGCAAGTGACATACATGCAAACGTATGTGAAAAGAAAATGTTACAAAAAATGTTTAAAAATCATCTTAGCATGATATGTCACGTTATCACAAACAAAGGAACATTAGTTTGATGATTACAATTTACATCATGCATGCAAGCTAGATCTAATAGGATATGAAATTAGATCTAATTGGAAAATATCTTCCTTCTCCTTCAGGTAATATGTAATAAAAATCATCTAGATCGACGGCTCACAGTTATTTAGAGATACCGTAGCAAAGTCCACTACTGCTACGCCATAGCATGCAGTGCGGATGGTTGAGGAATCTGCCGGTGGGGTGTCAACAAGTTTCTCAGCCTGTTCGCTGGTTGGTTTCTGGGCTGATAAGCCCGACTGATGCTGGTTTGTTGTGAGAGAAAAACACTGTTGACTGACTAATAAGTCTTTCTGAAACCAGCAAGCGAACAGATCCAATACAGGTTGATCAAAAGACATCCCTGTCTGGGCCAGCGGTCAAAGCTACGTATCAAAGATGAGACCTCTTCTAACTAGTGTTCTGGGATACGAATACGTTATTGATCGACCTCTGTCAGAACAGAGCTGAATCTCCTGTGCTTGTGTGATCTACGACGTGTGGATGCATAAATAAAGACGTGTGCTGACTATACGTACACGATCAAACTAACTTTTTTTTCCTAGTGTATCAACATAGCAGGTCGCAGCAACAAAAAAAAAAGAAAAAGGATCCCATTCCATTCCATCTCTCTTTCACACTGCGGATAGATGCGGACGGTGGTTGGCTGGCATCGTGCTGCTTCGCTTTCCACTGTCCTGCTTCCATTGTCCACACTGCTGCTCTCTCTCAAGGCAACATAAATAAATTTGGGGTAGAAAAACTGTTCACACTGCACACCAGTAGCTCCTCCGTGCCATGTCTTCAGTGGCATCACACAGTTGTAAAGCCAATCAGAACGGACCAATATTTTTCCCATGAATTAAAGTAGCATGTTTTCATCATGGAAAAAAAATAATAATTCGCCATGCTCTTCGCAGTTTAAATTCGTGTCTCGAAGTCAGAAGGAAAGTTCAATTTGGACGACGACGTACAGTTCATGCTTCATGGGATAGATTTACAGCAGCACCAAGAGCGTCAGCAATGAGTATGATGCGGAAAAGAGGAGCAGGGTGGAGCTGGATCTTTCACGCTCGCCCTGATTCTGATTCTGATTCCGATTCCTCCCTGCACGTTGCCTGTCCCTGCTTTCGTTACCTTCCTTTACATGTTGTCTCCGGTTTTCAATCTTGTTACTATATCTTTGAAAAATACTACTCCGTAGCTAGGTTTGCAATGCACTGATCATAGATTTAGTGACGAGTGATAACTGCAGCAGTGCCTGTTCTTTGACTTTTTTGCAGATCACCAAGAGATTCGTTTCCTGGCACAGCTAGACCCTCTATCACTTCACTTGATGTGGGTACCCCAAAGTAACAGTGAGCTGTTCATTTAATTGGATCAGAGGTTGATATCATCTATTACTTTCTAAGAGGTAATATGTGAAATAAGGAAAGTTTTAAATATAAAGATATTTTTCTAGATCTAATTGATGCATGCTGATCTATTAGATATGGTAAATCTTTTTTATTTTG